ACAGTCTCGTCTGCTGGATCAAGGACAACCCGGAGCCAGTGGTCTTCCGACTGTGCTGCCAAGGGGTGCATGTGAAGCTGGGGGTCAGCCCCCAGGAGCTGCAGTTCAACAAGCTGCTTCTGCACAGGTCAGTCATCCCACGGCTGAGGGCACTCCAAGGCTTGTGACAAAGAGAAGAGGTTTGACTCTGGTTCCAGAGGCTCAGATGGAGCTGCTTCAAGCCTCATTCAGTGGCCAGGCTGGTGTGACCAGCGAGCACTGACACTGAGTGTCTTCCTGTCTCTGCAGGACTGACACCCAGACCCTGGTCCTGAGAAATGACAGCCCACTGCCCATGGCATGGCATCTGAGTGGACTGGAGGACCTTGGCGATGAGTTTTCTGTGTCACAAGGCAGGGGCATCATTGGCCCCCGCACAGAATTTGAAGTGAAACTGGATTTCAAGGCCAAGAAGATTGGCATCACAAATAAGATCATCCAACTGGAGGTGAGAGGGACTTGGGCCTTCCTGGCAGAGCAGGGCAGAGCAAGCAGCCGTGTGCTCTTAGGGACAGAGTCAGGAAGAGCTGCACCTGACAGACACGGGGGTGCTGAGGCCCCAACTTCTGCCTCTGCACTGGGTTGGCCGGGTGCCCAGGCTCTGCATCCGGAGCCTGTAGCACAGCCACCTTGCTGCTGTGCAGGCTTGAAGGCTGTTGTTTGGTTGTGCAGACCAGCATTCGCTCTGGACCCTTTCTGGGAGTTTGTTCCCTGTGGTTTAGAGGCTGCATTTCAGCAAGCATGTGAGGTCATTGAAGAGGAGGGTGTTAATTGTCAATGCCACCTGCTCTGGGACACCTCACATTTCTTGTGGTTGTGTTTACATCCCTGGGCCTCTCAAGGGTGCTTTAGCAGCACCATTCCCTGCTGTGGGAGTGCAGAATTGGGCTGATAAGGTTTCCTACTGCAGCAGAATCCCGCCGGGGCAGCCTGTGAGATGAACAGGTTAGGAAAGCTTGAGAGTCCATAAACACTTGTCAAGCCAGGGAGGCCGTGGGGGAAGCAACTGGCAGAGACAAGGACTTATAGACTGTCTTCCAAAAGAATGGTCTAAGCAGTGTTTGTTTCTTGCTGCCTCAGGTTTCAGATACAGAAAACATCCTGGGCATTGTTCAAGCTGAAACCATCAAAGTCTCTGTGGAGGTCTGCGATGTTAATCTGAGCATCGACATGCCTGAAGGTCAGTGGATGCCTCCCAGACAACACAGTCCGGATGCATTTTACTACCTTGGCAGGTGGGCAACCAAAGCCCTTGGGAGGGGATGGCATAGCAGGCAAGGGTGGCACAGATCCATAAAGCACAGACCTTGCAAGCTGTGTGAAGTAAAGCACTGTCAGGGCACCAACAGCCTTGAGTCTCTCCCGTCTGAACTTGGAAACGTGCAGCTTCATGTGCAGATTGCATTTGGTGCTTTGAAACAACAGTCATCTGAACAGGCAGTTGGCTCAGCACAGCACATAAAGTAGCTGGATTTGTGCTTGGAAGCAAGGAAATGGAAACCAAGCTCCTTGGCTTCTACCCTGCAGATACTGGAGTAAGAAGAGAAAGGGCAACCAAGTAGCTAGAGAACACTTCTGAGAAGGGACACTTGCCATCTAAGAACTCCAACAGTGTAGCTTGTGAGCTGGTGTACTCTGCAGCAGCTCACAAATATTCACCATTTCTTACCTCGCTCTGCGGGTTTTCTGCAGGTCCAGATGGCAGCTTGGAATTTGGAACCATTAATGTCCTTGAAATTAAAAAGGAAGTCCTGAGCCTGCAGAACAAAGGCTTATATGACATTGAGTACAGGTGAGTCCAGCTGCCTGATGCTGAGCTTTTCCTCAGGCTCCCAGGCCTGCGTTCTCCCTCTGTCCATGGCTAGAACCTGTTCCCGTGCTGCTCCCTTTTCTTTTTTGTTCTGGTCCTATGCAGAGTCCTGGCTGTGCTGGTGGCACCTGTGCTTTCAACTGCAGAGGTCTTCATTCTTTCCCTTTCTCCACAGTTTCAAGCTGACCACTGGAAGTGCCAAGAGGGGCGACTTGGAATCTCCCTTCACTGTCCGGCCGCAGAGGGCTGTGCTGAAAGCCTCCCGGCCACCTGTGAAAGTTGAGGTCCTCTTCCACCCCACGACTGAAGTGTTTCTCGAGAGCAAACCCATCCTGCTCTGCCAGGTGAGCTGCCTGGGCCCAGCTGTGTTAGCACAGTGTGTCTTGGGAGCAGAAGCAGGAGAGGTGTCTTGTGCAAAGCAGGCTTTAGCTGGGGCATCCTCTCTCCTACACACCCAAACAGAGACTTCCAAAACCATTTGGGAGGCTTCATAAGAGAGCTGGAAATCTGGCTCTGGAAGAGGCCTTTAAAAAGGAAGGGTGAGATGCTGGAGACCTGGGCTGGGGTCAGGGGACAGGAGTAGAGGCTGGCCTCTCTGCTGTGTTTACCAGCCCCTCCTCTGGTTGCAGGTCACTGATCTCAAATCGGGTCAAGGAGGCGAGACCATTGCCACCATCCCAGTGAGGGTGTCGGCGAGAGCCGTGTACAGCAAGTACAGCATCGAGCCTGCCTCGCCCATCGACTTCGGTGCCATGGTTCAGGGCACCAAGAAGAGCCAGGTCCTAATTGTGGAGAACAAAGGTGCTCTTAACTTCAAATTCCTCATCCACCGAGCACCTCCACTGCAAAGGTAAGAGAAGACCTGCCCCAGCCTTTCTGTCTGAGGAGGCACCACCACACAGCTGGTGTGTGACAGGCAGCCAGACCTGGGTTCTTGTCCATTTGGGTCACTGGCTTGGGAAGAGGGAGGAAAACAACACCTCAGTATCCCCATGTGTGGGCCAAAGCTGGTGACAGAGCTGCTCTGTCCATGAGCTGCAGCAATGGGTGCTGCAGGCAGCTCTCCGGGGGCCATCGGGAGCAGGAAGGCTTTCCTGCGTGGGGAGGAAGGCCAGCTTTGGCCTCAGACAAAGGCAGGAGAGCTCAACATGACACATCTCTGCTTTCTCCTCTCAGTTCACAGCAAGAGGAATCTGCCCCCTCGGTCAGGGAAAGAAAACGCTCAACGCAGGTGGGTGGCTCCTGCTCCTGCCCAGCGTGTGCTGCTGCAGGGGATGGGGGAGGATGCAGCTGTGCCCAGGCTGGGGGTAGGACAAGGTCTGCGGGATGGAGAGTCCATTATCTGCTCAGTTCCACTGACAGTCCCATGCTCTGGCTCTGACCTGCAGTTGTGGGGTCAAGAGAGGGGAGCAGGTCCTGTGTTTGGTGGCTGCTAGCCAGCACAGATCTGGGAACACCACAGGAGCAAACTGTCCCCATCTGAACTCCCAATCCATAGAGCACTGACAGCTCTGCTTTTTCTTCTTCCCAATCCCCTCTCTCTCTCCCATCATTTCTCTCAGTCCTTTCTGCTCTCCTGTACCCCCAGAGGTTGAAGGATCCCAGCTACCACCTTCATTCTTTTCACCCATCTCCTTCCTCTCTGCCACTCGGGACAGACGTGCAACTCCTCCTGGCTTGTTCATCTCATCCCGGGGCTGCCTTTGGGCCGTGGAGTCATCCTTCCCTGCCCTGCCACTGGGTGCTCGGGCCCAGCTGGAGGCCGAGACGTGGCATCCTCCTTGCTGGGGTTGTTCAGGGCACGGCTGTTGGGGATCAGCCTGTCCTGGCTCTCTTTCTGCAGGCTCAGCTCACTGTAGGCATGTTCACCGTGTCCCCTTGCTCCGGCTCCGTCGGTCCTTGGGGCCAGCAAAACATCACAGTGGATCGCAACGCAGGAGCAAAGGGGAAATGCGAGGAGCAGCTGTACATTGACATCAGCAACAGAGACCCCAAGGACAATCCCCTCGGCATTCCCTTTACCCTGACTGCCGAGTCCTGCTTCCCAGGTACGTGCTGTCCACAGGTTGCCATGGGCAGTCCTGATACTGATCAGCACCTAAACTTGCTACTTGGATAGAGAGGCACCCTGGTCCTGAAGTCCCACCTTAAAATCCTGAGAGGCTGCAGTCCTTTTCAAGTCCAGCAGTGGGGAGAGGCAGGGAGGGATGTGTGGAAGCATAAAAGGAAAGCAATGCCCTTTAAGACTGAGGTTGACTGAGCTCCATCCTCACTGACTGAGCTCTCTCATCCAAGGTTGGGGTTTGCAGTCACCTGGACAGAAAGGGCTTATCAAACCTTCTGAGAGGCCAACTGGGTCCAAGTAAATTCAGAAAAGAGATTCTCCAGCCTCAGCCCTTCCTCTGGTCTGTCTGCAGCACTTGTTGAAGACGTGTTTAAGTTTCGAGCTGGCTTCCCGCCAAGTCCCCAGAACTCGACAACAAGGACCCGCCTCCCAGAGAGGGAAAAGAGGGAAAAAAAAAAC